ACCTTGATGTTTTAATTAATAACATAAAAACTAGTTGAGATAACAATGATGAACAAATAATAAGAAATATTTGGAAAAAGAACACATTGGTGTTTTAATGTATGAATTTAATAGGTTCTTTAAATAGTGGCTGGCAAATTTTTATTATCATTAATATGATTAGTAATTACAACTTACTCTACTTTATGATTATTTTCTCAACTTTTCCTTAAAGATATGTTCACAAATCAAACCTATAATACTTAACAATGCTATCAGAAACCATATAATGCTAAAATTTTTAATCCTTTCTATTAAACTTCTGCTGCACATCTAACACAACACAGGAGGCACAACAGAAGCCAAAACACAATAAACATGCTTTTATTTTTTTAAAAATTACAACAAATTTGGAGTAATTATATAAATACACCTCATGCTTTCCCATAAAGTTTATCACTGTAGAAGGTACTTTTCTTAAACTATAGCACTGGAACCATATTACTGAGGCATTAAATTAAGAAGAGAATGAGAAAAAAATGTCTGTGGTTGTTGCCGTTTAGTCTTTCATTGTACAGACTGCTGCCAATCATGATGTTTAACACAGGAGGCCTAACTGCACCCAGTACCAAAGATCCTTGTAAATCCTCAAGGCTCAACTTGCAGTTGTATTCATGTTAGCTTACAACCAATGTACTTTTAAGTTTAAATAATTATTTTTGTTCTAGCTACTGAGAATATCTCGCCCGTACGGCAGAGCCTGGCAAGCTACCCGTGATGTATTCGATATGCCAAGCACAGTAACAACAGAGTCTCCAATGGAGATGTTACTGGGTCCGCTCGAGCAAATCGATGAACAACAGGAGGACAGTGACAGTTCCAGGCAACACTCATCAGGAGCAGCTTCTGGCTCAGGAGTCTGGGGTCCACGTATTTCGGCCATTGAACCCAGGTTACCTGCATGAAAAGCAAGCACTCCAGTCTGCTGAGTTATCTCTCCAGGTCTTAAGTCTAAACATTTGGTGGTTTAAATGTTTAAATTTCATATTTATAACCTATAAATAGTAAAGTAAAGGCCCTCCCGTTGATCGTCGATTTGCTCGAGCGGGCCCAGTAACGTCTCCATTGGAGACTTTTGTTGTTACTGTGTCTGGCATATCGAATACTCTCGGTAGCTTGCCGGGCTCTCCGAGAGGGGCGGGGGAATTGAACTCGGGTCGGCCATGTTGGCTGCTTGTAAGGCAAACGCCCTACCCGCTGTGCTATCGCTCCAGCCCGCAATGCATTATTAAAAATAAAGTACAAATATTGTTTTTAATCACATATACATATGTGTGTTTTCACAGGTGCATAATGAGGTAGAGATATAGTGTTAATTTTTTTTTTCACAAAATAGAAGAAAAGCAAACAGGGAAGCCCAGTAGGAAGGATTGTCACCCGATATCCTGTAGACACCCAGCCCAGCAAACCATCTCCAGCTAACTGAGGACATCACATGTAAACTTCTAAAAGGTTAGCACTAATGTGGATCAAAGAAGAAAATGTTCAGAGGAGTTAAAGGTCACCAATTTCATTGTGAGGATGATCCAGGCTACTCCAGAAAGATGAAAGGATCAGGTTCATCTTCCAACATTGTCTAGAATGTGAATGGAATTTCTCAACAAGAAGAGCAAAACTGTGTGTGTGTGTGTGTGTGTGTGTGTGTGTGTGTGTTAGAGAATGTGGGAGGAGGGAAAGTGGAAAAAGCAGTCAGGACCTGAAATGAGATATTTCCCCAGGAGTAGAGTAGTATGGCCAACATCCAATATTTATGCCTTATAGAATTATGTATTGTTGTAAAATATTTCAGGAAGTAAATATTAATTTAATTTTCAAATTTACTGCTCTTTGATTACATATGAGGTAAGAGCAGAAATGGAAGGAAACACAGAGGAGACTAAGACCAAGAAAGAAAGAAGGATTCATGCCAAGTCTATGAGTTTAGGGAAACATTCCAGTTGACTACTAATGAGCACCATTTCAGAGAGAACAGAATTTAAATTCCTATGATATCATATTCTATAATTTGCTTTTCAGTTGACAAAATAATGATATCAAATGAATTAAGACAGGAAGCAATTTTCATGGAGAGGCTTAGTAAGAAAGGATAAAAGTTCCATGAGAGAATTTGCATTGTTTTCCCTGGAATGATGGGGAAATTTGTGGGAGTAAGACTTACTAGATGAATATTTCACTTATATTCACATGTGAATAGGAGACTTTTTATATTGGTGGATTCCAAATATATCTGATAATAATAAAGTTATTTGATAATGATAGTTATTCTTCATAACTTTATCATTTTTCTATTTGTTTATATATTATCAATATTTACATAAAAATTTACATTTCCATGGCCAAGTTCATGCTTATTCAACATTATTTGGGCAGATATAAATTTCATAACACACAGTGGGTGATGAACAATTTGAGATGCTTCTTTTATGTGACCATCACTAAGCCATGGATCAGAAATGAGGTACAAAGAGCTTCTGTAATAAGGCATATTTAGACTCCCTCAATGAACCTGCTTATGGCCAGTTGTATAAATGAAAATTTTCACTCTATACCACCTCTTATATTCAGTTATTTGTTCATGATTTGTGGAAAAGATTAAGCTACAAATCCAGCTCAAATTTGAGTTTCTTTGACTTTTTCTCCTTACAGATTTTCACTATTATATGGAGGATATTTTTATAGGTACTGGAAGATTTACAGACACAATGAGAACTACAGAAATTTTGAGGGAAAAGGGACATGGTTTGTTTCTAATCAGCTCACATAGAGATAATACAAAGATATAATCTTCAAGTGGGCCATTTGGTATCTAATAATGAAACTTTTTTTCATGATCCTATCACCAGCAGCCTATCATACATCTATTCTGGACTTTAATTGCAAAATTATCTACAAATTATTAAAAAAAACTATACCATGTAACCAATTTACCATGTTACAAATGATTCCCAAACTGTAGGCACATTGTATAGTGCGTCCATTTTACCACTTTGAACATCACCTGTCAATGAGCACAAAAAAGAATGAAATGAAATAAAACAAAAAAATTGCTTATGAAAAGACTGAAAGACATACTGTGACACATAGTGAGCTCTGAGTAAATATGTCTGTATGTATACTCACCTTCCTGTGAAATACTTATACTCAGAGGAAATAAATTGCAGCATTATATAAAAACCAATGACTTTCTTTGTCAAATTATCTGTCCCATTATGTTATTTCTTTTTTTATTTTTATTAGTGAGACACCATGAGGTCCATTATGTTATTTCTTTAAAGGATAAGTTTTGTCAATGTCTTTACTATGTAATACAGTTTACCATGAGTGATATTTACTTGCAAACGTGCAAGAATACATCTACTGTGTGTAATAGGAGGGACTTTTGTTACATTCACCAAGCCACTCTTCCTCCCTGACCATATTATTTTATTGTCATATCATCAGATTTTGATTAAAACGTTTGTCACCTCTATTTTAAGATGCCTACACTCCCAAATTCATTCTTTTTCAGTTTCTGGATTCCCATTCATTGTGAGGATTTCAAAGAAAAACCCATGGCTGTGCCAGAGGTTGGGTTTGGATCCCATTTCATGTGGGTAAGTTTTAGTTATTAGTTCATACAAAGAGAGTGATCCTGATTTTTATTTTGAGTTCATGACAAGTGTTACATAGCTATAACAGGCATGACGGAATTTAATAAACAGAAAAAAATCTATAGAAGAAAACGTAAGTCTAATCTATTTGTGATGTCTATAAGAACAGCTTATTATGTTCCTGATCTTAAAATTGTTGATGACTTAAGGAAATTGGGAAAACATGTTAAATATAATTTAGAATCTTACTTATGCACTTTGGTAATGGTTTCTCCCTGACGTGTGATCTTTCCTCTTTTCCATGAGAGAAATAAAAATATAGACTAGAGATAAGTAATCGTGCTTTCCATCCATGAGCTCTGTCCTACTCTCTCCTTGTCAAGCATTGAAAATTAATGGTTCGTGCTATCAGAACGTGACTCTGGAAAGGGAAACCAAACACTTGCACCCAGTCAAGTCCCCATCCATTTAAGATCCAGGTCGCCAGAGGTGCTGAAAGGAGAGCTCCAGCTCACCTGTGGAAGTCCTGGAGTTTGCTTTGCAGCGGAGAGAATTTAAAGAGACCCACCGAAGGCAAGAGAAGAGCCAGTCATCTCCTAACTACACGCCGTCCTTACGGAAACATCTAGCTGCAACATCTACTACATTTCAAAATGCGTTCTTGCCAAAGTAAGAATCTGGGCGTAGCACGCTTCACGTTGCTCAAAGTAAAACCCTGTAGCCGCCTATGTCAAACACGACATGAGAAAGTTCCTTATCCACGTCCACCCGCCCCTGCCGCGGATCCAGAGAAGCAGCATCTCTGCAGATACACCGGGATGGGGGGAGAAAGTCTAGAGACTTGGTCCAGAGGCTTCTGCCGGTGCCTGGAGGAGGACTAGGGCCGGGGCGTGCTCTGCAAACTCCAGTTGGCTTTCCGGGGGTGGGGTGGGGGGGGGGGTGGGGGGGACCACTAAGCGGTGGCCTCGAGCCCCCCTGGGCGTCGGTGTGCAGACACCGAGCTCAGCCCCGCGTGCAGAACTGCAGCGGGAGGTAAAGTGAGACAAAGCGGCGGCCGCTCGCTCGGGGGTCGGGAGGGCGGAGAGGTGAGGGCGGCGATCGGGAGCCCGAGTAACCCGACGGGAGGGCTTGGGGAGGGGGACGCGCCGCCGCCCACCCCCGCACCCAGCCCAGCGCTGGCCGCGGGTCCGGCATGAGTACAAAGAGTGCCCGGCGGGAGGGAGCCAACTTCCCCCCTTCGCCCACCCTCCCGCTGTCCCCCGAGCACAACAAAGCGTGCGGCCAGGCTGCACCCGACCCCGGTCCCCAAGACCCCCCAGGGCCAGAGCGGGGACCCCGGAGCTGGGGGGAGCACTAGGTGGGCTTCCCTACCTCGAGCAGCACAAAGAGCCGGAGCAGCAGCGGCAGCAGGCGGCGGCCCGGGCGAGTCCCCGCGGGCAGGTGGCCCATCGCGGCGCGGACCCGGGTGGCAGCTCACAAAGGCGGCCGCGGGGGGTTGCGGCTCAGACCCCGGGCTCCGAGGCGGCGCCCCGAGGACGCATGTCGCCTCTCCCTGGGCTCTGGCGGCGCCCGGAGTCGGCGGCGGGTGGGGATGCGGTGGGCGAGGCTGCGGCGGGCGGCGGCGGGGGGGCGGCCGGGAGGGATGTTCTCACTCCCGCAGGTTCCCCGAGTGGCCGCGGCCGCTCCGCCCGCGGCCCCGACGAGCCCCCGCGCTTAGACTCCGCCCCGATCGCGACCCAGGCTCGGAGACTCGAGAGTTGTGCGTGTAGGGGGCTCCCCCCTGGCTGCTCTGGAGTGGGGCGGGGGCGGGGACAGGTCCCCCACTTCTTCTTCTTGCAGCTATTTTTAGCTGCGAAAAGCCCCCATCCCTCCCTCTCACCGTGACACTGGGCGGAGAGGGGTGCACAGCTCATGGGGGCGCTTGTTAGTGGGGGACAAGCCTGCGCGCCTCCTTTCTCCCCCATCCCGTTAGAACACAGTCATCTTCTGCACCCCACACTCACCTAGGAGGAAAGTGCAGGATTCCACACAGTTTCCCCCTCGGCATCAAGAGTCCCGGCTGATTTCAGGGACTGTTCTTGGATGCCCAATCCTGCCTGTCTGTCTGTCTGTCTGTCTGAGCACAAAAGTGGGGGTGAGGGTCAGTAAGGGCACATAAACAAGATACCGTTTGGGGCTTCAGAAGCAAAGAAACCGTCAAACTTGTCTAAAGTGGTTATGCCGTTTTTTTTTTTTTTACATTGCCCACCAGCAGTGGATGAAGGCGGGAGGGGGTGTTCTCCAGCAACCAAGTTAGGGTTCTTTGTGGGCACTAAACAGGTCTGCTCCCCGGTGCGGGTCCTCAGTGGCACACTCTGCTCCCCGGTGCGGGTCCTCAGTGGCACAGGTCTACCCAGATGGGTCTGTGGCAGAGAGACACAGCCATGCACACACCTCCACAGCCACAGGGAAATGAGCCCGAGTAAGACTAAGGTCGGCCAAACGGACCTATGTCAACTCCTGGATCTGACTCCAAGCATAGCTCTAAAAGGCCTGGGAGAAAACTAGGCAAATGGTTTAAGGAACTTTTCTGTATTATGAAAATTTGATATCAAACATACTACTTCAGGCGTGAGACGTAATAGTTCAATATTGATAACTATTATAAAACAAAGACCCTCCGTCCACACAGTATCCATTTTTTTTTTCTTGTGGTGAGAACTTGTAAGATTCCCTTAGCAACCCTGGAATACACAACACAACACCTGCTTCATTCATCCCCACAGCACACTCATTTCATAACTGGAGGCTTGTAGTCTGTATCTTTGATTGCCTGGTGGATTCCCTCATTCCTAATGACCAACCCTGTGGCAGTGCAGGGCTTGGGAGCACCAAGCAGTGGTCAGGGGACTAGGAAACCATTCTAGGTGATACTAGATTAGCTGGGCTGGAGTGATAGCACAGCGGGAAGGGCGTTTGCCTTGTAAGCGGCCAACATGGCTGACCCAAGTTTGATTCCTCCACCCCTCTCGAACAGCCTGACAAGTTTCCCCCAAGGCAAAGCCTGGCAAGCTACCCGCGACATATTCGGTATGCCAAACACAGTAACAATTGTCACAATGGAGACATCACTGGGCCCGCTTGAGCAAATCAATGAACAACAGGAGGACAGTGACAGTGACTAGGTTAGCTAGACTGGAAGGTTTATGCTAGAGCCCAATCATTAACCTGTGACTTCTTTTTAATTTATCTTTTAATTTAAAATTTTCAGATTTGGGGCCATACCTCCTGTGCTCAGAGCTTATTCCTGCACTATCTCTCCAGTCCTAACCTATAACTTTCTTAGAAGTTCAGACAATTCTTCCCCACTCTGTGTCGCCAGTTTATTTATCTGTCCCGTTGATTCTTGTGCATATTTTCTGGAAAATTTTATAGAACTATGGGGCACATGCTTTCAATACGGGCCATTTCTTCTAACATGTAAAGGATGCAGCAGGAAACTTACTAATCATAGGTCTTCCTATCTGTCTTTGAGACCTGCATGGCACCAGGAGACTGGCAAAGGGACTTTGGTCATGAATGGAGAAGTTCCGGGCAAGGTTCTGCATTGGTTGTGCAGTTAGGGAGTGGTGGCAAAAGAAAGAACCTAAAGCTGCCAGCTTTTGCCAAGGGAGCAGTGTGAACGGTGGATGTGCTTGTGGCTGATTGAGAAGGGGCTTGGTTGACAATAGTCATCACTTGCAAAATATTCTCTTTGCTGAAGGCTTTACATATACAAACTAAGATCATGCCTGAATTTATGTGTGGCATTTGTCTAGTGTCCTCTAGACGCTTTATCCCCCTCCTGGTGCTCATTTTAGTGCCCTGTACTTATTATCTTTGACATTCTATTTCTCCTGGGAAAACAGTAGTTGCTTCTCCTTTCTTAATTCATGGGCTATATGAAAAGTTAATTCTTGGGACTGCACTTGTAAAGGCTTTGGTTGGTATATTATCCTCTGATTCTGAAGCTCCTGAAAGCTGCATTCTATTTCCACCCACTCCCGAAAGAGCCATTAAAGCAACCTAATGTCTAGAACTAAAGAAATGTTGGGGCCACTGGCAACATCACACTCCGAACACCAACAGTTTGTCTTTTGAGTAGAGTTTGAGTTCACAAAGTGTGTTTGTGCTATAAGCTGTAGACATATGAGGCTGTTCGAGTATGTGGGTGCAAGTACGTGTATACATGGATCAAGGCTTGCTGGATGCATGTAAGGCCCTGACAAGCAGTGCTACTCATCCTACATCATTCTGTAAATGCAAAAAGACCTTTCACAGCAATGAACATTTTATATATAGGTTTCTCTAGCTCTCAGAAAATAGTATTTCTCTTATGAAATGAACTGTCTCTTAAGAAACCAAAAGAAAGAAGCAATCACAGGTTACCTATTTGGGAAAAATTTTAGTATTCCCAGACTCCCCAAATAATCTCCATCACATATTACCAATAACACATAAAATCTAAAACAATACAGACAAGTAATTAAAGGAAGAGTTATATGACAAATAAACACCAACCTCACAGTTCACAGGGCGGAAGCTTGGCAGTGCTGCTCAGAATGTTGCTTCTTCTAGGACAACTGCCACAAAACCCACAGCAAACACTATTTTCACTGTTTTGCCTTTGGTTGTAAAGCAGAAATCCTCTTTAGGTTTCTTCTGGTTAGTAAAGACAGGTACTAGCTTATGCCTTGCTCATGATTCAGAGAAACATGAACTTGCAAAAAGTGGAGCTTACCTATAATCATATTTTGCCATGATAAGGGTCATTTCTAAAATGTACTTGGTTCTTTTTGCATCTGCATACAGAAAGAAATATGAACCACTTTGAGGAAATGATTAATGCTAGGCAGTAAAACATCTTCCCTATAAAGTATTAGTAATTAACATTATTAATATTCTATGAAGTGACATTGTCAACAGGAAGTGTTCTCTCTGTAAAAAAAAAATAAAATAAAAAAATTCCATAGCTTCTACTAGATAAAGTAGTTTCATCTGTTCTTATTGCACCTAAAACTGTAACTTCTTGTGAATTTTCCAAGGAGAGATTCCAAAGAACTTGACTGTTGGCTCATCACCATGTGGGGATTTTAATCCATAGAACACGCTGTGCATGTCTTTGAACTATTGATTGGCTTTCTGTGCAGTACTTCCGGAGCACAGAAAATCCTATTGCACTATTTTCTAGGCTCCAAGTCAACAAGAATGGCCATGGGTGACATATTATACATACAGGCAGTGATGCTTTGCCAGCTGCTTCAAAATGTCAGTTCTGATTTCATTATCTCAGCAGTACCACTAGCTGACGGTGCCTGAGATCACTCCTCCCTGCTACTTCTCTCTGATTTTCTTCAGTAAAACAGAACCAGGGTCAGGCCTGGAGGAGAGGAAATGACATCTAATATGTGTCTAAAGACAGACATTTGAAAACGAAGTCTCATAGATTCAAGTGAAGCTCTCTACCCCATTTGGAAAAAATGAGGTTGTTGATGGAAAGACTAGAATTTGGTGGGGTTTTTATGTGTTTTTTTTTTGGTTGGGGGCTATACCCAATGGCTAACTCCTGGACCAGAGATCACTCTAGTCAGGCTCAAGGGATAATATCAGGCTCTGGGATAGAACTTAGATCAGCTGTGTGCAAGGTAAGGGCTCTTCCCACTATCCTATCACTCCTGTCCTAAATCTGATGGATGCTTTGTTCTGGTTAGGAACAGCCATTTCTTCCTGTATAGGTGGAAACTTACCCACGCTCACACTCACATCTATCTCTTCATAAGAAAGAAGTATGGCCACTGCAGCGCATGGGGCTGTGATCCCTGGGAGAGGTTTAATGAGGAGTCAGATAGAACTCTCACAGTGCCTTGCCAATGAAGCTCAATCCTGTCCTCCAGGGACCCACTCTAATGTAGTTCAGAGTGTTCAGTCCGGCTGCCACTACTGAAATCGCCTCTAAGACTGTCAGCAGTTTTCATATTAGAGAGTTGTATTTATGGGGGCTGCTCAATGGCGTATCGTTTACTTTATATGGAAGGCAGGAAAAGAAAAAACTCGAGCCATTCATCTCCAGGTTCTATTCCAGTTCTTGAAAAGCACCAATAATAGCCATGCACTTTGTCTCCTGTGTCTCACGTATTGCAATTATTATAACGGATGGACTGGAGTACGTGTGTAATTTGCTCTTACAATCAGGTGATCAGGCTGCATTTTGATTTTCAATTTATTTGAGCATTTGTTTTAGTTCTTCTCTTGATGAACACTGGTTTCTCGCCTAACTGACATGTTGACAATTCATAAAGTCTGTGTCTTTCAAAATGAGGCTGATTGACAGCTCTCAGGTGAATAGCATGTCCCAACTGCTGAGACAGATTACTCTTGCCACACTTGAAGAACAGTACCATGCAGAAGGTCATTTTTGCACCGATGTGGAGGGGTTTCCCACTTTTTCTCTTCTCGGATAATTCTAATGAAGGCATCTATCCTTTAATTGACTTGATTCTCACACGATTCTAAAGAAAATCAAATAAGAATATTGCTTTACAGGGTATAGAATTTTTTTTTGTAGTGTCAGGGATTG